TTAGTTACAATGAGAAGTTTTGCCATAATTATATTTTAATTATTTTGTTAATTATGTGTTTGTGTGTTAGGGGTAGGTATGTGCATATGACTGTAGGAGCCTCAGAAAGCAAGAAGCATCAAGTCCCTAGGAGCTGGACTTATAGCCAGTTGTGATTTGTTCCATGTGGGAGCTGAAAACTCAACTGCAGGTTTCTGGCAGAGCAGCAAGCACTCTTAACTGTGGATCCATCTCTCCAGCCCCATAATTGTATTTTAAAATCACATTTTTTTGACAGAGCCTCATGCAGTATAAGATGACTTTGAACTTGATCTACAGATGATCTTCCTGCTTCCAGCTCCTGAGTGCTTCGAATGCAGGCAGGTGCCCCCATGCCAGGTTTTTTGCAGTGTTAAGGATTGAATCCAGTGTTTTAAAGTTAAAATTAAAACATGCAACCACCATAAAATCAATCCCATCATAATTTCTGTTAGTTATAAGTGTAAAACATGTTTTTTTCAAGCCCATAAGAATAATTTTCTTCTCTTTATTCATACAATCCATAGAATCACTCATTCAATTCAAAACTCAGGTGTGGTCCATTTGTTTCATGTTAAGATCAGAAATATATATATATATATATATATATATATATATATCCATCATACCACTTTATATCATAATCTCTTCACTATTTGGTGTAATTGCTCTTTGAACTATGCAGAAACTTAGTTCAACTCTTATTTTACCCATTTTTACACACTTAGATATTCATATTTCTGCATACATCTTTGTACATTTTCACCATGCAGTCTTTATCTACAAACAGTCACACCTTGGTTTCAAGAACAACCTTCTCTGTAATTATTACTTTCTGACTTGTGTTAAGTACTTGTTTGGACTTCTAGATGGAAAGTTTTGTAGATGCATCTTTGAAGATAAGCATGTTTTCCAGTATCTCCCAATACTGCATACATCTAATGTGATACTTTAACAGATGCTTTAGAATGAGTCATGGCTCATTCTTTTGCTATCATCATAAATATCAGCCAATGGTCTTAATTGAAAGCACCAAGAAAAGTAGGACAAAACAACACACTTAATCACATCAGTTTCCCTCTGAGGTAAGGGAGTCTTGCTGGGCAGAATAGTACTTATTTAAATACCAAAGCAGGGGAAATGATAACAATCAGCTGCAGAGTAGTAGCTCTTGGAACTGTGGAAGCAGCTGCTGCCCTGGAGTCCCAGCCACACTTGCGAACCTGCACTCAGAGCTTTATCAACAGTGCCATGCTGTTTTTGTAGATGAACAGAATTATAACCACGTTTCTATGGGGGGAAAGTGATGAAACTTCATCTTAGGAAAATGTGTAACTTACATTTTCACAGCTTGTCTTGGGGGAAGCAGCAGTGACAATTAAGTTTTCTTTATTCCAAAACTGGGAACTTCCCTAGGGCTCTGTTTCTTCCTATTCACATGATGTCTTCATTTATCATGGTATCTCTTTCCCTGCTTTCCCATTCTGTCTCTGTTCCAGCTCAAACCTCCCATTCCCCTATGTTCTCATCCCCCATCCCTTGCCCTCCATTACCTTCCTCACCCCCAGTGAGGGGGTGATCTACTCATGTAGATCTCATCTATTTCTCCTTCACTGGGCAATCCATGCGTCCTTGCTAGGGTCCTCCCTGCTAGCTAGAAAACTGTCCCTTTAAACTAGTATTCTGAAACACCTCCTCTTCTTTTCATTCAGCTCTTCCTTTTAAAACAATTTTTATTTATTCTATAAGAATAAATAAAATTCCATACATGCATATAATGTATTCTGATCATATCCACCTCCATTACTTCCTCCTACTTCTTCTAGATAACCCCGTCCCAACTTCATGTTTTATTAGTTTATTAAATACAATTAATTCCCAAGTGCACATGGGGATGGGGTTATTCACAGGATCCTGGTCAACCTACCAAGTCACCTCCCCTAGTAGCCACCAACTGTCAATAGTTCCACAGATAGGAGTGGGAATTACATGTCCTTTCTCCACCCATGCTGGAATGTTGACCAACTTGATCTTGTATTGGCCATATGCAGGTAACTACAGTTGCCAGGAGCTTGTTGGTGTAATGGCCCTATCATGTCCAGAAGACACTGTCTTGAAGCAGTCCTCCACAAACTCTGACTCTTACCAGTTTTCATCCCCTCTTCTGCATGTTCCCTGAGCCTTGCAGAGCGAGATGTGATATAGATGTCCCATTTATGGTTGAACACTCCACAAATATGTGTCCTCTTCACTCTACCCAGTTGCTCATCTTTTTATTAACTGCTGTCCACTACACAAAGAACTGAGAGCTGCACTAACCTATGGGTATACAGATATACATTTGGAAAGTAATCTGATTCTATTTCATTTTAGCAAAGCAGCACCACAATAATAAGTTCACTCCTGGGGCCTATGAGCTCTGAAGCTACAGGTTCCTGGTCAAATTTGTAGTACAAAGCTCGAGTTTTCTCCCATGGAGCAGGGGCCTAAATCCTATTAGAAAGCAGTTGATTATCCCCATAACATTAACATCACTATTGTATTTTGCTAGGGTGGTCATTATTATATTTCACAGGGTTAACAGAAAGTCATCATTTCCTTTTCTTTTTTTTTTTCTTAAAAAGTTCTTTTTCCATTCTACATACCAACCTCAGTTTCACCTCCCTCCATTCTTCCCGCACACCCTCATCTTCCCCCACCTCACTCCCCCATCCTGAGAGAGGGTAAGGTCTCCCACGGGGAGTCAACAAAGTCTGGCATATCAGACTGAGGCAGGACCAAGATCCTCCCCCATATCTAGGCTGAGCAAGGCATCTCTACATAGAGAGTGGTCTCCAAAAAGCAAGTTCATACACTAGAGATAAATCCTGGTCCCACTGCCAGTGGTCTCACATACTACTCAAGTCACACAATTGTCACACACATTCAGCGGGCCTGGTTCGGTCCCAGGCAGGTTCCCCAGGGGTCAGTCCAGAGTCAGTGAGTTCAAACTAGCTCAGGTCAGCTGTCCCTGTGGGTTTCCCCATCATGATCTTGACCCCTTTGCTCATATAATCCCTCCTCCCTCTCTTTGACTGGACTCCAGGAGTTCCACCCCGTGCTTAGCTGTGGATTTTTGCATCTGCTTCGGTTACTGGATGAAGGTTCTATGATGACAATTAGGGTAGTCATCGATCTGATTACAGGGGAAGGCCAGTTCAAGGACCCTCTTCACTACTGCTTGGAGTCTTAGCTGGGTTCACCCCTGTGGGTTCCTGGGAGATTCTCACTAACTCAACAGTGCTAATTCTTAGGAAGTTTCAGCTCACTCTTGAAGCAAAAGATTAATATTTGCTTCTTTCCTAGCCCCTCTTTATGACAGCTCTTCCCTGTGCTCTGTGAAACCAGGTCCATGGCTCTTTGAGCTTTAGCCTCTACATCTCATGGATTCCTTTGGATTCATTCATTGCCAACCCAGTCTCATTCCTAGAGTGTTATGCATTCAGGTAATTAATCTCAAGAATTAATACCTGGTATTAGTAGAGGCAACACTCCACCTTTCTGGAATTCTGTCTTGCCTCAATGGATTCTGAACCCCAAAGTTTGCTGAGCTATTAGCTGAGTTTCTGTCTCAGTGATGCATGAACATCAACCTTCCTCTTTCTTGATGGCTAATCCTCTTCCTAAGTTTGCTGTGCCAAGCACTATGTGATATGTGTGGAATCCATGGGTGACTAAAATATATCCTACTTTCAAACGGTTAGAAAGACTGTGAAACCACCGATAGGTAGAGCTATAAGGATCCAAACAAAAGATCTATATCACATGACACACTTACTTGTGAACCATTGATTGTATATTCATGATCTAAGACTGTAAGTTCCTCATGGCAATCATGTCATCTTTTTGTCATTAATATCTTGCAAAATGATGGGCCTAAGTAATAGAGATGATCCCCATTTACTGAATTAGTAAGTGAATGAATGCTTGCAAGTGGAATGGCTGGCCTGCAATGGACTTGGTGAACAGATACCTGAAGAGTCTCTAACTCAGAAGATTCCTCTTGAACTGTTCCCAGAGAGATCCTAGAGTTCCAGAGTAGGGAGTGCGAGAAGGGTCATCCTCATTCCAATCTGTGAAAGTGGCTGCTCCACATACACAGGCTGTGTCTCACCTCTAGGAAGATCGAGGGCCTAGCATAAAAGGGCTCCGATGCCAGGCTCACCAGTCCTCAGCCTTACCAGGTTCAGAACGTGCTCCTTCTGCTGAACAGGTGAGTGCTTAACAAGGAAGGCTGGGGAGGGAAGGGGGCAGAACTAACTAGAGGGGAGGAGGACAGAAGAAGGCAGGGAACTTAACGAGACCCCCTCCTGGTGTGTGCTTAGGACTAGGGTGAAGGACTAGGGCGAAGGTTGGTTCTTCAGTCTCATCCTGACCTAGGCCTGTGACATCTCCTGACCTCTCTTGGTCTGGTCGATACCTGGAGAAACAAGCACTGGGCTGTAACTGTTTCAGTTTGGGACAGGAGAGCAAGCAGGAAAATGGCAACGGGAGAGTGCAACAAACCAGGAGAGTTGTGAGAGCTGAGTGTCTGGTGTCTGGTGTCTGGGTCTTTAACATCTTCCCCTCCAATCCTCTTCAAGGAAATGTTCTTAGAGAGGACAGGGTCTCACTGACATGTAAGAAAGATAAGTCCATCACAGTGAGATTCTTGAATGCCAAGGAGCTCTGTCTCAGAGCCTAGGGATCCTATATGGAATATGTATTAAGGACTATGTCAGAAGATGGTCGGAGCCACTCACTGGTGGAAAGGGACTATGAGAGAGCTTTTACTGAGCCAAATTTCACTTTGTGTCAGTCCCCCAATTTGAGTTATAAGCCTTGTTCATTGAATAGCTTGTCTTGGAATCGGCATCTAAGGGAAGGAGATTGTTATATCTACTCGACACCTGTGCTGATGGCTTTTATATTTCTCTTTAGGTTTACAGACATCCTCTAAAAAAATGTCCTGCCAGCAAAGCCAACAGCAGTGCCAGCCCCCTCCCAAGTGTGCCCCCAAATGCCCTCCCAAGTGCCAGACACCAAAGTGTCCCCCCAAGTGTCCTCCCAAGTGCCCCCCTGTGTCTTCCTGCTGTAGCCTGGGTTCTGGTGGCTGCTGTGGCTCCAGTTCTGGTGGTTGCTGTGGTTCCAGTTCTGGGGGCTGCTGCAGCTCTGGGGGTGGTGGCTGCTGCCTGAGCCACCACAAGCCCCGCAGATCTCTCCGTCGCCATCGTCACAGCTCTGGATGTAGCAGTGGTGGCAGCAGTGGCTGCTGTGGCAGCAGTGGAGGCAGCAGTGGCTGCTGTGGTGGCAGCAGTGGTGGTAGCAGTAGCTGCTGTGGCAGCAGTGGCAGTAGCCAGCAGTCTGGGGGCTGCTGCTGACCTGGGTCTCGAAGACTGCCGACCAGCAGTAAAGGAGGAGACCATGCTCAGAGGACCTGCTCCTGCCTGCTATTCATCTCATCTCTTCCCGTCTTTCATGTTCTGGACTCTGAGATGATGAAATTTTGTGCGAAGTTTCTCAAATTGTCCCCCCCTAGCCATACCCCCTGCTGTGATTCAAAATAAAATCTTTCCTACCCGTCTTCATTGGTCTCTTGCTTACTTCCCCCAGCGTTCTCCCCAAGGGTAATTGTTGCAACTGGGGTTCAGTATTGCCCTTTTTGGAATATAAGCCTAATTCAGTAATGTGGGTGAAGCCACTATGCAAAGTATGGCTGATGAGCCAAACCATTTTCAAACAGTAGGTAAAACATAGTATCCTGGCTATAAGTTTCACGTTAGCAAATATATCTTTTGATGTTGGTGTGCACATGGTTAATAAAGGCCATATGCAAAGAAAACATGTATGGAAATTTGTTTTACAGTAGTAGACTCCATTTGGTGTGGAGAAACAGGAGAGGGGAGGGGCTAGGCATGTAGGTAGAGGCAGGTTACTGCCAGGAACCCAAACTTTCATGTTTGTTTGTTTTTGTTTAAACATGGTTAAATTTTTTCAAATAAATGAGAAACAAGAGAATCAAGAAACTAGAAAATTTAAGAGACTGTATTAGTTACGTTTTTGTTGCTTTAAAAAATACCTGAAAAAGCCAGTTAAGGAAGAAAAGGTATATTTGGCTCACAGTTTGTGGCTACAGTCCACCATGATGGGGAAGGGAACTTGAGGTGACTGTTGACACTGCACATGCTATAATGAAGCAAGAAAGAGGATGCTGGGTCTCAGCTCATCTTCTTATCATTCTTGTTGAGGGCCCTAGACCACGTAATGGCATCACCCGTATTCTTGGTGGGTCATCCCTCTTCTGTTAAACACTTAGACACATCCAGGGGTGTGCTTCCATGGTGATCCTAAATTCTAAGTTGAAAATAAAGATTAACCATCACAGGCCACACTTCCGCAGAGCAATGATAGAAGGTCTTGAGCTATAAGTTCTATAAGAGCTGTTTGCTGCAGTTCTGGGTACCTAAGATCCTCCTTATCAGCTCAAAGTGTTTTTTCTGTATAAACTTTTAGTGATTTCAAGTTATTTTCAGTAGTTCTTTAAATACATGATTTTGAAATGCCGTTAATTTTTGAAATCAGAAACTATATTTCATAAGTTGAATTTGCCCAGATTCACACAGCAAGAGCATGGGCTGCTGTCCGTGTCTGCCTCCCCATGTGCTCATCTTCCCATTCTCTTCTCTCCCAGGCACTGCTCTTCCACCCTTCCCCAGCAGGGAAGTGCGTGTTGATGGCTATGAAGCTGTCCTTAGTGATGCTTTGGTGACCCCTGAACCCAGTATAGGTTTCTCCCTGAATGCAATGACATCACTTTGCTTTCAGAACATCCTCATCCTGGGAAAGCAGTCTCTTGTTTACATGCTTTTCTGTTGTCTGTGTCTCTCCACTCTAACGTAGACTGCAAGGGTGAAGGGGGCTTGTTTTCGGGCCCATCGTGGCATCTCCTGCACCTAGACTGTGCTTGATTTGTGTTGCAAACACAAATTCCAAGTCCACATGCGAGTCTACATCTTGTTCCTGAGCTTCTGATTGATAGTTATAAGATTATTAAGAGATCTCATCAGTCAGGGGTTCTATTTTAACAAAGTTCAAGTTTACAAAATGAGATTCAGCATCTGTCTCCGCTCAATAGATCTCTCTCATCCAAGTGAGAGGCATCATTACCTTCCCACTGGAGAAAAGAAAAACATCAAATTCTTCTTCCTCTTGTAACCAGTGTTCACCAAATCCTACTGCTTCCACCTCTCTTGAAATTATCTGCTTTTCTCCATGTTCTCAATTTTAATGAGTACCAACTTTGGTTTCTTAGCACCGCCTGCTGAACTTGTACTACACTTTTCTAGTCTGTTCTCCATATTGAGACCCTGATAATCTTTATAATGAAAATCTGAATGCAGCTTTACAACTCTCAGTTGTCCAAGGTAATAACATCTTTGCGTTCTTTTCTTTTGTCTCTTATCTGCTCCATGGGGACCCTGGGGTTTATTGCTCTTTCAGGAAACACTTAGATTACTACTGGTTCTTGCTCAGAGACTCAGGGGCCCCAATAGACGTAACTCTGAGAAGTTGGATGGTACAACCTTTAGAGACATAGTTTGAGTGTTATCTGCCTCTTTGTCAAAATATCCCAGGACACAAGTCAGCAAGTTACTTCAGGAGACCTTTAGTTCTACAACCTACTGTCTATTTGGCTCCCAGTGATGACCCACCTCTTTTCCAAAGATATGATTCTAGCCATGCTATTACAATGCTGTATTCACTTTCAGGGATGCCAGAATCGGGGCTTCTTTCTGCCACCTCTGTTGCATGCTTTGTGCAATGAGAGTCTACAATGTCCCTAAACCCAAATAACCCTCAAGCCACTGTTTAAGAATATTTTTATACCAAATAATTACTATACCCTTTTACACATGTTGTCTTGAGTGTTCTATTGTGTCACTGAAACATTTTCATCAGTGATGTGTATCAATCATAGAGCTATATATTATTTAGTAAATGAGTGTATGACTTGAAGTAAGTTATTAATTCAACAGTGCTTTAATATTGCCCTTGCAAAGAGGAGAGAAAACCGATTGTCTATGTTCTAGGCTGTTGGGAAGATTGAGTCAATATGTGTAAATGATTTTAACATCACATATATGGCAGCTTCCTAAGCCAATTCCACAATTTTCTAACAACCACTGGCTTTTAGTAATTCAATTTAAATCTGACTCTACTCCCAGAGTTAGCATAGACCCCACAGGCTAAGGCTCAGACCTGCTACCATTCTTCATACTTCATCTTCCCACTGTAAAGTGGTTCCTGGTGTACTCATTCTTCTGCCTGGACGACTACAAACTTCCTCCTGAGTTCAGACAGAATTCACAGAACTCAGGAAAGGGTTCACCCATGATGACGTGTTTGTTATTAGAGTTACAACTGCATAATAGTCTAATGGGAGAGATGCTGTGTTAGTCACCTTGTGTCATCATGACAAAATACTCGAGCTATTATAAGGAGGAAGGGTTTATTTTGGCTCAACCTTTTGGAAGTTTCAATCCATTCTTACTTGGGCTTGTATTAAGGCAGTACAGAATGAGGGATTGCATGATGGAAGAAGCCCCCATTTCATGGTCAAAGTAATCTGTGGGAGCAAGATAAAAGGTTGGGGCCCAATATTCCTTTCAAGGAATGCTGTCAGGAATTTCCCTTCTCCTCTTTAAGTCTCACACCCTAAAGGTTCCACCACTTCCCCAAAGCATCACAGGGTAGGGACCAAGTCTTCAGGAATTCGTCCTTTGGGATGAGACTTAGAAAAATTGTGGAAGATGCATAAAGTCATGTATAGAGGGAAGGAAGACAGAAATCTTTTTAGTCCTTTTGATGGAACCCACTCAATTCCCACAAGATTAATATATTTATGAACCTAGAAGCTGGTTAATGATATCCTTTCAGGCTTTTGATGTAGGTCAACTATCTTGGTGAGGCTGAAACTTCCAACTCTCTAATCATGTTCCAGCTCCTTCTCCTAAAGTTATTTATACTTCTCATCATCTTTTAAATATATACTCAGACATGGTCTAAACTTAAGACTCTAAAGGAACTTTCTGTGAATAACAAAGGGTACCCCAGATCTTAAGGAAAATGCAGGGATTTTGGAGCTTTGTGCCAAGGACCAGGGACAAATATTAAAACAAAAACCCACTGGAATGAATTTATTCCATGGAGTATGGTTCTTTTGCCAATGCCATCGAGGTCAAACTATATTCATCATTAATGAGAACAACATGTGATCATGGTTACTCCCAACAATGACCTTCATTTGTTGAGCAAACCACCTTTAATTCAGTCCTTATTATCCCTTTTCTTTCTAAACACCCGAGATCCCTGCAATAAATTCCACAGTGCTGACACTCAGTTGGATACTACATTACATTTCAATGAAATTTTTGGTTCTATAATTGTTATATACTCGTCCTTCATAATTCTTTATAAAGTTATTTTTTCTTCTTGATTATTTACCATTTTCTTAAGCCAATTCATTAGTTGATAGGTAAAATAATGACTTTTGTCTTTCTTTCATCTTAAAATCAATTTCTTCAGAAATAGAGTTAATGTCTAAGAAGCTGAATGAAGAGGCTTGTTCCTTGGATCATTCTTAAATCTTCTCTGCTTGAATAATTCCTCTCTCATTTTCTTGTCTTAGGTGAATTCCAACCTTACTGTACTTTATCTTTTTTCTTTCATCATCTGATATCCATATACAAAAGCCAAGAAGGCCAGCTTGTATTTGATCCTGATGGTCTTGCTGGCTTCCTCCTTGCTCTTAGCATCTCATAGGTCCTTAAGTTCCTTGTGGCTCCCAATTATGCATCCTCTCACAAAACTAGTAGCAACCAGGACTTGTCTAATTGGGAAATCAAATAAATACTTACTGACTCTTGAATTCTTCAGCACAAGGGGTTTCTTTATATTTTACTTAGCAGAGTGCTCATTATAAGGTAGGAAAATTTACTTTCTGACTAATTAAGTTCTTTTCTTTCTAATTCCATATTTATCAGTGAGGTATAAAGACATGCATTTTAACATTATCTGCCATTTTGCCTTGTTCGAAAACTAAGTCCAACAGGGTCTGGTAACTAAAGTGCATTTGTCAGTATCTCCTTCCGTTTTCAACCCCTACAACCCCTCACAATGCTGACTCTACCATCATCCTACAGTGCCTTAGGCTGTCTTCTGGTCCATCCTTGAGTCCTTCTTCCTTGTCAATGACCTTAGTTTCACCTCTCTTCATGACCTGCTTATTTACCCTACTCTCCACCCAAATATGATTCCCTTAGGCAGTTAAGGTAACATTATGGGAACACCAAGATGAGATAACATCCAAAGATCATGTTAC